TTTTTCTTTAGATAATGATGGTGAAATCTGGTTGTGCGGGGAAAAATTCACTGCTGCCGATATCTATTGGTCTACCACCCTCAATGGACTCTACGATTTGGGCCTTGAGACGCGTTATTGGGCGGAGGGAAAACGTCCCCAGGTGGCAGCGTATTTCGAGAGAGCGCGTAACCACAAAGCATTCTTGGAAACGACACCAAACATGCGGGAGGCAGCGACGACAAAGGACGTGAAACTTGACGTGAACAATAAGTCAACTGATGGCGGTACTCAATGTTGTCCGTTTATCTGTGTCATCATATAACTCTTAGATTAGATTAGATTATGATAGTATAGATTATATGACATTATATGTAATTAGATTCGATGCCGAGATTATATTAAGTTAGACTCTATTAGGAATAGAAAAGAACTTGTCGATATCGTAATTAGAAATTTCATGACGCAATGTTATTATTGTACCATTGTAAAAATAAAATTTAAAGCCCATTATCAATCACAAGTTTTGAATGTTCAAAAAGTAGTTATTTAGTAACGCAACTAAAAATAAGGTTACATAATATACATTTTGTTTTTAACCAATATTGTGAAACAGTACTGTACATGGTTACGTGGTGGTGATTAAAATTATGAAAATCCAGTTATCCGATTTTGTTATTGCGCATGCGCAGCTATTTACAAAAAAAATGCCGTGTTACAAAACAATGTTTCAGTGTTGATCAGCATCAATTTTAATTACCACAGAATAATTATAGACCTTGGCTGCGCCTCAGTCAAGAAGTTTCTCTTCAGGTCGTTAACACAAAATATTGATCTCCACTTGCTCGGTAGTGCAAAACTTAGTTATCTCCCATAATGCATTGCATATATGTAGAATAACATGCCCAGCAGGGCAAAAGTTGAATTTGGCTCAAACTACCTTTGAATGTGACTGCTAGCACACTATGAGCATTATAATATCGGGTCAGTGCCTTATTGAACGTACAGTGAATATGTTCTGTCAGAGGCAGCGGCACACAATTTTGCATTGGCGGGGGGGGGGGGCGAGATCTGCTCACCAACCTTGCGTCGACCCAGGTCACTGCATACGTATCGAACAACAAAACGAAAAGTTCTGAGCCCTTTAAGTAGAAATCCAAATATCTCTGTGTTCTAATGCAATTTAGTATACTTCTGTGGGACTTAATTACACTATTTGGAATACCGGTGGAGCAAGAAGTATATACTATGCATACAGCTGCATTATTATCAGTGTGAATAGATTGACATCACTCTATTTCCGTTAGATCATCATTGACAAATTCAACTATTTTCCTCAATGGTTGGTATGCGATCAGATGTAAACGTCTTCATCTGATCTTTGATTACACGCGCCGATGCATTAAGATTTCTTATTCAGTTGCGAGAAAGTCTGTTTATCATTTACTTTTATATACTACTGCAGTCTTGTCTGCATCTTCCATTCTGGAAATATACTTCAGGACACCGCTGAGTTGTAGATGACGGCATTCCATAAGAGGCAGGTACTTTTGGTTCCATATGATACTTGCATTTTCTTTTTTCTTAACTATGCTAAGAGACATTGTAAGTTATAAATTTTGTGGAAATATTGAATGAGAGCAGAAATAAATACGTAATAAATTTGTAATTCCCGTGATAGTTCTAAGTTCAGCATATTAAGTAATCATGATTACCCATCTGATTGGCGAATGCATAAAGAACAGTAATTGTGTTAAATTAATTAAAAACTATAATTATTATTTTCTCCAACTTTTTTATAGACCTTCAAATCTATATAGGTTGACTTGAAAGAGAACTACGACCTACACGATTGCTTATGTAGTACATTACCTAATAGCTTCAAATCACTCCTTCACAAAAAAAGTTGCCAATGAAGGTAGCAGGTATAAGCTTTAATGACAGAGCTGTTGCATTTATAAGTAAGGTATCTGTAGGTATTAGAAAGGTCAAGTCAATGCCAAGTGCATACGTTATGCATAGAATTATTCATGCGTGAATGACAAAACGTACTCTACACCTTTTTATAGTTATGTAAATTAACATAAGTGCAGCGCTGTACATGTGCACTGGCAATGAAACCGATTGCTGGCGCCCTCGTGAAATTTATTCGATTTACTTTACGAAAACAGTGGGTTAACCAGCACTTTCCCGTGCTGTTTTTTATAATACATAATGAGTTGAGCTCTCTAATTGTAACATGTGAAAATAGATGTGTTCAGAAGAACAAGTTTATGGATATTGTTGAGGACAAAGAAACTAGTTTAAAAACAAAATCACAACAAACATGAATTCGCCTTCAAAGGGTTGTAGTAATATAAATGGTCTTGGCACTACCTTTGAATTGTTTTAAACCTAGTAGGTGAATGATAAATTGCAAATACGTCGAGCATATTCATGTCCCCATCTTTACTTTTACCATACATGATATTTCATGCCGCTTTATTATGGACATAATAACGCCAGTTTACTCAAGGTTTTTACTGTTCATACCTATTTGTCTGAATATGTAGATACATTTCGAAAGATTCATCATGATAGCGTTTTTCGACTTGTTTCAAAAAGAATTTGAAAGTGTTGGACACATCAGAGTTATACACCTCATGACATCAATCAAATGAATATTTTTATCTGAACTAAATCGACTTGATTCACTCTTCTTTATATATCCACTACTTAATCCTCTATTCATTACGCAACTAGTTAGATTTAAGGTAGAGATGCAGTTTATTTGGCTTGCTTTTTAATTGAGTAATTAGACAATGAAGATGGTAAAACATATCCATTTGAGTGTCAAGTTAATATAATCCCGTTCCAGATTGCCCAATATTGTTTTGCTACTCTGCACTCCCATGTAAGATGTTCCAAAGTTTCATTTTGCTGGCAATAATAACCGTGACTGAAAATAACATTTACTGTGTTTTTCAGCAAACAATGTATGTCTGCATGCTATTGAGTGATGTGTCACTTGTTATTATAATACATGAAATAAAATCACCACTATATAACACATCTAATGAGTTTGTACTATAAACAGTTCAGTAGTTTAATTAATTTAGTGTTTTATATATATCGTGCAGTGGCGCGGCGGCACAGGGGGGGGAGTGGTCGGTCGCCCCCTCGAAAATTGTTTGGAGGCGTCGCCTCTCCAAAATCAAGCTGAAACCCTTTGTGTCAGCAAAATTAACCCCTCAAAATGAAGGAAATAGCGTTTTAGAGGGTATATATTTCAAACTGCTTAAGGGGAAGCATGCCCTCGGACCCCCGAGTAAGTTCACGCCTTCGGCGCAAGTTTGAAAAACAGATCTAGACCCAACCCCCCATGCAACATTTCGTGCCGCCTGCTCTGTTGTGTGATAGAATAATTGTTCAGAACTCCTGTCGGAGATTGTGCCGATTCAAACATTCAATTCATATCTACAGAACGTATATAACCACGTCAAACTGACTTAGACAAATGTACGTTGTTTGGACATGACATGACACGTCACGTCACGTCACAATCAGTTTATCCATCGTCGATGATGCAGCCTGATGTTGTATCAACGTTGGAATGTTGCATTGTTCCTGAACTAGAAATTATAATCGATGTTAGGATTCGTTTCAAGTTGTGTCAACTTTATTTCATATTTTAGCTTGGTAGAAAAAAAATCGTGTTACATGAACTGTTACAGCGCAATTCAATGAAATATCAAAGAATAGTCATAATTATTTTGAATCGTAAAATACGCAAACAAATCTGCACTAGAACATGTATACTCGCACTAGGTAGGAAATTAGTTGAACAATTTATGGTTCTGTTTTGCGACGAGAAGGAAACTATATACTGTTTTGGAAATAAAAAACACAGAAAAGTAACAAACTATGCTTACTACCTATCACGCGTATACGCGTTCTATTATGAAATATTTTACTTATTTCAGTTTGTGGGTGTTATGTTATGTTTTCTTTTATGTTTTAGATAAAGAACTATTGCTCGATTATCAAATATTAATCGGTCTGCGCAGCGTTTCTTAAATACACTTGAAAAGTCTATTTTTACCATAAATATGCCCGATACTGGTCAATGGTTATTAGCAAAACTAGAAACGAATAATATTGAAAGTTTTTTAGTCATTAGTAAGTAACTCAGTTTAAATAACAGCCAATTAATATTCTTTGATTTGAAACTCTCTTATCTTCCGAACCTCGTCATCATATACCTTGAACACCTCTTTTACCGATGGCCGTTGTTCCAACCGCTTAAAGAACTCCGCCACAAATGGGTGCTTTCCGTCCTCCCAGTAAGAGCTGAACCCAATAGCGCCCATTTTCTTCAGAAATACCACGAGGTATATATCAGCCGAGGAGAAGTTGTCATTGAATACTTCTTCAGTTGGGTCATACAGAACAATATTGTCTTCCTTTCGTTCATACAATTATGCCAGCTCCGGGTGTTTTCTGGCGTTTTCAGCGGCCCGAGATGGCATGAATTTATGACCGCCTTTATAATATTTTTTTTTGTAAAGGCGGCACATTGACACGACGCATGTTAAAATATTGTCGTATTAGGGTAATGACCCATTGCTTACCCATCCAAATGTTTTTACAGCAGTTGTGATCCCATAATCCAAATTTTGGAACATATTTTGGATATTTATAGCATCCACCAACAAGAGTTCCTAGAAAATAACTGTCTACCAATTCTTCAAACTGTTTGATTTGATCATACAGTGGAGATTGCTTGTCAGGGTATAATGACACAGCTGTAATATGACATGAAAAAATGTGAATCGGTCGTTAATGTCTATTCTTATCGCTGTAAGTTTAATATTCCCTGGAATCGTAATTTATTTTAAAAGAAAAAAATCATGTAAACTGTCACTGGTTGTGGTATCGCCGGTGGTTACTACACCCTCCGATGTACCGGCGTGGTTTTTAACAAGAAGTCGAAAATATAACTTTTTACCAAAAATGACAAAAATATTCATTAAAATTAGAGAATTGAAGATATCATTACAAAATGAACAAATCTGAGAGTGGTCCACATATTGTATCTATATATGTAATATCAAAGCAATTGGACTTGCGGTTTTTAACAAGAAGTTGAAAATATCACTTTTTACCAAAAATGACAAAAAATATTCACCAAAATTAGAGAATTAAAGATATCATTACAAAATGAACAAATCTGAGAGAGGTCCACATGTAGTACCTATATATGTAATATCAAAGCAAATGAACTTGCGTTTTATACAAGAAGTCGAAAACATCACTTTTTACCAAAAATGACAAAAATATTCACCAAAAATGACAAAAATATTCACCAAAATTAGAGAATTGAAGATATGATCATGAAATGAACAAATCTGGGAGAGGTCTACCCAAGGTACATATACACCAAGTATCAAAGCATTCAGGCTCGTAGTTTTCAAGAAGAATTCGAAAAAGTAAAACATTGATACGGACGACGGACGACGGACGACGACGGACAATCACTCATATAAAAAGTAAGGCAACATGGTTTCTCTGTGCCTTTGAAAACAGACTTCTTTTGTAATTCGAAAGTAGTTCCCATCAAATTACTATAGTTCAGTTCTAATAATAATGTGCTGTTTGAATAAAAACGTATTATCCAATTGTGACGTCATACTATACTAATAAATTAATGACATGTGATAACAGAATCTTGTTTACAACAAGCGTTCTGATGGTCAAAATAGTTTTGCTGCATTGAGAATTCACAAAATAAAATACATCACTATATTGCATTGGTAACAGATACTGGTAAAAATAAGGAACAGGAAAATAAACTATTTTGGAAGCAATTAAAGATGTTTCAATGTGTTAAGTGCAAAGGTCAGCCAGGTCATCGGCGTATCAAAGCAATTTTTGAATGTAAGAACTGGCGGGTGACGGCGCACAGTGAATTTCTGGTAACAGTGGAGCTAGAAAAACAATCCACATGCTAATGGAAATGAAGATAAAGTTAAACCCCGTTGTTGTTCATTGACCATGGTGTGTTAAAATATACACTCAACTCACTTTCTGGAAATTCGTCATCCAAATACTTCAATATTGCTGCCGATCCACAGACAGACTTATCGCCGTGCATCAGTGTAAGTACCTTTCCAGTAGGATTCATTTTCATGTACCATGGTTCCAAGTTTTCACAAATGAATCCGTTTATTGTACAACAGTCATAGTTTATACCTTTCTCGGCCAATCCAATCTCTACCTAGAATGCGAACAATTAGTAAATGATTACTAGATAGTGCACAATTATCAAAATGATAGTAAATAGATTTTTTGCATCCATCTTGGCGATTTTATCAAAAAACGAGGTTGGTTACATCAAATCTTTTCAGCGTGTCCACATTCGTGTGCCAATACATTAAAGAAATCTAGTCAATGTTGTTGAGAATGAATATTGGACACTAGCATTGTGAATATATTGACAGTAACTGTAAATCTGTTTGCAATGTTTTGCACTCAATATATTTGTCTCAGCTTGATTGATAAGCTATAGCACTCGATGTGTAGCAGTGTTGTTAGCAAAACAGCGATGTAAATTGCAACAATGCACAACGGATTAAAACTGCACATGCAACATAAACATCAGTTTTAACAAGTTCGCCTACTGTCATTTTAATTACTAATCTAGCTAACGCCCTTTCAGAATTATCCGCTTCATTTAAAGCGGGAGAGTCGTCACCTGCGCATGCGTCAGATGGTCATAGCGCGTCAGTGTTTATAAATAAGCGTCTACCCATGAGCCTTTGCGCTTTTAGCGTGTGTTGTTATCATCGCTTGGAACTCAATTCCCGCGCGTGCGCAGGTGACGACCCTCTCGCTTTAACTTTAACTCGATTCAAAGCAGACGACAGTCGCACTCTTACAGTAATGGTGCAACTCTTGTTCATGTGACCCCGGCTTTTGGTTTCTTTCTGTAAACTTTTTGTTATTATGCAGATGGGCAACCTGTCACACTTGTATTCATACACATAATGCTAAGTGCATTACAACAGATTAGAAATCAGACCTTGCACCACGGCAGGAAAAAAGGAATCAATCATGAGCAAATAACAATGTGTACAGTAAATCTTTTGTCACGTGATTTATGTAAACTGACACACGTTCAGTACTATGTACCACGGTTCTTCTAGTAACGGTGTATGCACTGACAATCCATCCGATCGATTAATCTTTCAATTTTATCGTTTGTTGTGTTCTAATCAAGAAACACTCACTATAATGTATGGGCTATTGGATATTGGATATAAAGCCACACTTTGGCTAGAATCCTTCAAATCGCACGAGCGTGATTCACAGACTCTGACCATGGAGCTAAGCTCTATGCTCAGACCATGCTCTAAGTGTGGCATTATATTCGATAATGATAATACTTTTAATGCAAAGCTTTGTAGATTGGTGACTGTTTCAATCGTGTTTTTCAGCCATAGTATTGTTAGCATACAACAGTTAGTTCAAATATTTGCGTAGAATATGGCAGCACTGTAATGTCGGTGATCTCTGTTCACTTTCACTGTGGTCTCAACGCGCGTAAAAATACCGGGTTGAAGAATATTAGTTGCTCCTTCAAATTTTGCCAAAGCCTTACCTACATTTGATCGATATCTGCAGAATAAATATAAAAAAAAACTAAAAAGTACGCCCGCACATTGTCGTAGATGTAGATGCGAAAAACAATGCATTCTAAATATCTAAGTCCAAATTAACTTACCCGAACCGAGTAGTAAGACGCCCCGAAGACGTACAACGTAAAGTTAGTTGTACCCGACATTTTGTGGCTTTATGGTGACCCCTACTGTGTCTACTTGCCTTGACCCTTTCACAAATAATATACTCCGGACGCGCTAGATTAAAGCAGTCACTCATTCGATTAATTGTAACTAGTAACTTACGGTAACAATTAGTTAATGTTGAATTAGAACACGGCATGGGCAGATCATATTTGATACATATTCCAGAACAATATTGGGATCATGGCATAAAATATAGCCGCACATAGCTATGTGAAGGTGCCCAATTTTATGGTGTCGTTGGTAGCGCAGGTTACAAGATACAGGTCCAGTAACAGGTTATTAAACATTACGCAAAATAAAACTTATTGTATATTAATAAAAGCATATACAATTGTTTCATTTATTTTAGAACTCAAGTTCTTATCTTTAATAATGATCAACCCAATTTGTAATACTAACCTTATTTTTTAATTTAAATGCCTAAAACACAACAGTAAAACAATTTGGTCTAAATCCATCCATTGAAAATATAATCCATCCATTGAAAATA